AAAAAAAAAAAAAAAAAAAAAAGACCTGGTTTTGGGCCCAACCGGATTTCCGGTTGGACCACCGGGGGTCCGACCGGCCCGGTTAGATCCGGTCCGGTCCAACCGGCTGATTGCTGATGCAGCCCTGGCATATACGAGATTTGAAACATTGGACAGACTACCCTTCATAAACTCTCCTGAGCACGTGTCTGGCATCCCTTGGATCATGACCAGTTACACACTAAGCCATCCTGCAGAATGAAGCCCATCATGAAAAAATGGGGCAATGACTGGTCCGTGTCTCGTCCCCTCCTCCCAAATGACTTTACTATAAACTGGAGGGAAGCACACGCCTCCTTATCTTCCGTGCAGCTCGTAGTCTTCACTGCTCAGGAGGAGAAAGGCAAGAAGAGTTGCCCTGAGCATCCCTGCAAGAAGAGTTGCCCTGAGCATCCCTGTAAAGATCCCAGTTTCCTGAGGCCGCGTCGTACTCACAAAGATTCTTCATTTCTGATCATAGAGGAGCGAAATAATGGGGACATCATCCAAGATGTTGTGGTTGCTGTCTACAGTTTGGGCACCATTCGTGCGCATAAAATACATGGGGGGAATGAGGGAGGGGGAAGGGGGTGGGGGAGGTAATCTGAGGAGTATGAAAGCTTGCTTGTAGGAGAAGACCAATGATAAGTCACAGTATCATGTTTTGCTCATGTTTTCTGGATCTGCAAAGCACTGAAAGGTCACCCTTACGGCATATTGTAATTCACAACTCATCGATGAGCCACACGGCAATTTACGGTTGATATTAGGAAGAGAAAGCAATGGTTTGGCTTCTAGAGAAGGACACATACCTCCATAACACGGCCCGTGAACTCATCGACAATTAGAATGTCCTTTCCCCTAACAATGTAATTTACATCTTTCTTCTGAAGCTCTTTCGCTTTCAGGGCATTTATTACAAATGATGCCCACTGCTCTCTTGGGTCATAAAGATCTGTTACCTGCACCAGCAAGTCACGACATTTCACCCAGCCGATTCCGCGCCCAAGCGCAACACAGGCATTAGCACAACCGATGATGCAGAAGTGCACAGATAGGTATTTACAGACAACGATCCACCAACGAGCGTGTGAGACCAGACAAGAATGTTCTCCTCAACATAACTTCCCAGACTTTTTTCTTTTTTCTTTTGCACCGTCCAATCCTTTTAAACAAGGGGGAAAAGGATGCAAACGACAAACTTACCATTGCACTGCCAGAAAGCTGTGTATCCCCCCGCCGTGGAGGTTGAGGGTGGCCGCGACCTTGCGGTCACGGCTGCGCGGTTGCAGACAGCACGAGCGGTGTGGCCGCCAGGCGGGGGGGGGGAGTGCAAGGGT